GCAGGTTTATGAGGATTTTTTCCTAACCTTACACACAGTCCGGCTCTATAGCCTCATTTCTGCCTGCGTTTCCTTCGTCTCCTTTATTTCCTTTGCTCTCTAGCAGGGAGAGTAATCCACGGCATCATTCTAACCAGCTCAGCTGGAATGTTGTAACCTGAGACTCCTGGTTCAAAAATGCAGCCTTCTCTACCAATGATTAATAACTCTTGTCGACTGTAAACTATTTATGCCTGAACGTGCAGAGCACTCACTAAAAAATACACAAACAATACATTAATTAAAAAATACCAGTCTCTGGAGTGTCGAGCCACTGCATATACGTGCGCCGCCATTTTAACAACAGTTACCTGTTGATGAGGCAACAGCTGAGGCTCAAACAATTGTGACGCACCGGGGAGCCTTTAAAGCAGTGGTTTTCAACCTTTTTAATGCCGCGACCCCCAACCGGTTGTAAGTCAAGGACTAAACCGGTCATAAGTCGAGGAGTAAACTGGTCGTAAGTAGAGGACTAAACCGGTCGTAAGTCGAGGACTACCCAACCGGTTGTAAGTCGAAGACTTTCCCTGCCCGGGAGCACCGCGCATACATGGTGCCGCCCCCTGTGTCGGGCGAGGCGGAGCTGGCAAGCGGCAGAGACGGAGCAGGCCGACCACCGGCTGGGCCACCAGCTGGCCCAGCCCAAGGGAGGTAAGGCACCCGCCGGAAAAGGGGGAAAAATGGCAGACAGCCTTGCTTGGTGACCCCCGTGAAATGGTCGATCGACCCCAAATGGGGTCGTGACCCATAGGTTGAGAACCGCTGCTTTAAAATGAAAAGTCTGTAGTTTGGGGTTAATGTGGCCCCTGGCATCTTCCAAAGTGTGATGGAGCGAACGCTCCGCGGTATTCCTGGGGTCTGTCACTACTTCGATGATGTCCTCATTGCTGGGGAGTCATCTCTAAATCTAGCTGGAAAGCTGAGGGCTATCTTGCTTCGTTTCTGCCAAGCTGAAGCTAGATGAATGTAAAATTGGAATCACTTCCACCAAATTTCTGGGGTTTTGTATTGATGCTGAAGGCATCCATCCTGCTGAATCCAAGCTCCAAGCACTTCAGCAGGCCCCAAGCACTTCAGCAGGCCCCAAGCCCCCAGTCGAAGGGTGAACTTCAAACCTTCCTGGGGCTATTAAATTTCTATCATTCTTTCCTTCCCCTCAAGGCTGCAGTGGCTGGGCCGTTACACCGGCTCTTTGACAAACAGGCTCCATGGCAGTGGACAAAGGTCCATGAAAGGAGCTTTACAGAGGTCAAGGCCTTGCTCTATTCAAATGCGGTTTTTGTGCATTTCAATGAGCAATTGCCTATGTGCATCGTATGTGATGCCTCTCCTTATGGGGTTGGGGCTGTGCTTAGTCATCTGAAGGCTGATGGGACACAAGTCCCTATGGCCTACTATTCAAGGACTCTGTCATCTGCAGAGCGTAATTACGCACAGATTGACAAAGAAGCCTTGGCCATAGTGGCTGGCATAAAGAAATTTCATGATTTCTTATATGGCCGCCATTTTACAGTCTACACAGACCATAAGCCTCTGCTGGGTTTGTTTACAACAAACAAACAAACCCGCCACATAATATCTCCTAGAATGTTGAGATGGTCAATTTTCCTGTCAGCATATGACTACACACTGGTTCACAAACCAGGCAAAGAAATGGGCCATGCAGATGGCCTCAGCAGATTACCTCTACACAGATAGAGGCAAATCCTGCTTCTGCTCTGCACATTCTCTCCATTCAGGAATTTCCTGAATCTCCCCTCAATGCTAGGGACGTGGCTGCAGAAACTGCCATTGATCACATGCTCACACGCGTGCTGAGATGGGTGTTGTTAGGATGGCCTGACATATGTCCAGTTGCAGAATTCCAAAGCTTCTGGCAAAGGAAGCATGAGCTTTCCACTTTCAAGGGTTGCCTTTTATGGGGTTTCAGGGTAGTCATCCCAGCCTCATTGAGGACTAGAGTTTTGCTCTATCTGCATGAGGGACATCTGGGTATAGTCCAGATGAAAGTGCTTGCATGTACCCATCTCTGGTGGCCTGGGCTTGATAAAGAGATTGAAACCCAGGTTCATAGGTGCCAAGTATGCCAACAAGGCCTGAAATGCCTCAGACCCCTGTTCATAGGTGGGAGGAAACACAAGCCCCTTGGTCGAAGGTTCATATTGACTATGCTGGGCCCTTTCAGGGGCAATTCTTCCTTCTTCTCGTGGACAGCAATTCCAAGTGGCTAGAGGTTGTGCCTGTTTCCTCCACTACTACTGCTAGGACCATCCAAGTGATCAGAGGGATCTTCGCCTCCCATGGACTTCCCAATGTCCTGGTCTCAGACAATGGCCCCCAATTCATTTCTTTTGAGTTTCAGGCTTTTCAACAGGCCAACTTGATCCAGGACGCTACTTCAGCACCATTTCATCCCACTTCCAACTGCCAGGCTGAGAGGATGGTGCATACTACCAAAGATGCTCTCAAGCGAATCACGTATGGCAGCTGGCATCAAAGGTTAACTGACTTTCTTCTTTGCCAACGCACCACACTTTGCACAGCCACTGGCAAGAGCCCAGCAGAACTGGACAGGTTGCACCCAGACCGGGTGGCTTCATAGGTGTCCCAGCTGCGGGCACCTAGGCGATTACAGGTGAGCGATCCGGTCTGGGCAAGGAACTATGGACCTGGACATGCAGTAGTATGCAAGGTCTCTGGGCCGCTGTCATATGAAGTGGCCTTGGATGATGGTCGTGTGATCTGATGTCACATTGATTAACTGAACTGGAGGCTTCCTAGCAACACTTCCACTCCTGGCTCTACTCTCAGGGGGGAGGAGGACCACAATTACGATCATGGACCACAGTCTCTCCCCAAGCAGACCTTCACAGGCTTCAGTTATTGCTCCAGAAGGGGGGTTTGCCATGGAGGCGGCTCCTGACTCTGGCACCTTTGGCACAGACACTGGGTCAATGGGACATTGTTGTCAATCAGCTACTCAGGCCACTCCAGCTGCTGGCCTTGGGCTCGAGGGACAGTGCTCCGAAGAGGGGTCCATTGTGGACTTGGGAAATTCCACCCCCACCAAGGAGCTCTGGTTTGGGTTCAGAGGATCCAGCCAGTCAGCAGTTGGGTGGGTCATCTGGGTCTTTGGGGCATCAAAGTCCTGGTCTGCCTAGCCTGGAAGGCGAGCTGGCAGGCCAGGCACACACACCGGTTCCAAGAAGGTTACAGAGGGCCAAGGGTCCACCCAAACATCTAAAGGACTATGTGAGGTTCCTGTCAAGCAAGTGGGTGGCTTAATAGTTCTTTAGAACTCAGCTTACACTCTACAGAAGAGTGTTATATTTCACTGTAATAACATTGTGTATTCTTGTACATGTTAAATGTCTGAATGGGTCTGCCTGTGTGCAGGCATAATGTGTTTAGTAATAACAACATGCCAATTGAACACATGTATATGTTTGCTGCTGTAAACAGTAAGGATTACTTATTGTTTTATCCAGGGGGGAGAGGTGTTATGTCCTGGGCCTGCTGAAATTCAGCAAGCTCAGGAATGCTGCAGAGAGTCCCGGGCAGACCACATGGTTGCCCGGGACCAGACTGGCTGTCTCCAGCCTTGCACACATGCGCAAGGCGGGAAACCAGCCTCTGCAATGATTGGTTGATGCTGTCCTTGCAAGGACACTATAAAAGGCCTGCACGCCATTTTTGGTTCTGTTCTGTTGCTGACTTACAATAAAGAAGACTTGCTTTTTGTTACTCACTTCGTCTCAATACCTTTGACTCGCAAACAGAACAGTGATCACATGACCCTGGAACAATTCAACTGTCATAAATATAATGCCAGTTGCCAAGCACCTGAATTTTGATCATATGACCATGGGATTGCTTGCAACAGTTGTAAATGTGAGGTTTGTCATAAGTCACCTTTTTCACTGTCATTCTAACTTCGAATGGTCACTAAATGAATAGTTATAAGTTGAGGACTAACTGTATGAAATAACTAGCATTAAAAAGTCCTTAAATAAAATGTGAATAGTTTTTTATGTTTTGTTTCTATCTTCTACTCTTTCATGTCTGCTTTATTTCATCTATGCTTTCTTGCAAATGATCTCTGCATGGAGCAGAGTTGTGCAATTTTGTGGCCTACAAAGAGACCATGCATACTAACTGAAATTAATGCTCAAGATAAAATAGATTTAGTGAAGGGAGAATGGCAGACACACATGGTCCATAACACTTCAACATCCAGGAGGTTTCATTTACATTGCATATAAATTGAGGTACATACAGTTCTCCATATTAATTCATACCCAAAGAATTCCTAGCTATAGAACATATGTACCATTAAGAACAAAGAAATGGACATCTAGTATATGATCATGAACTGAAAATACCACACAATATGAAGAACTATTGAAATAATACAATTTTGAGGCAGCAAGCCAATATTACTATAGCCTAACAAAATTATGACATCATAATGGTCTATTAAAATCAGTTTCTGGTTTGAGTTATACAGTAGCAGTTATTTTGGAATATAATATATACTTATTGTGCATACAGACTTTTATTGATTGACAACTATGATTTATAAGGTTGCTTGAAATACAGATAAGACTGCAGATGTGAGTATTTAACTATCAATCTGAAGAAGCTTCTTGAGAAGTAAAATATCTTCAAGGGAAAAGGAAGTCCACTTGCCTCTTGAAAAAAGCATCTTTCGGACAACCATGACATGAATGACTGAGAATCTCCACAGACATTTAGGTATGCATTTTTGAATATATATAAGCTAATATATTATTGTTTATCATTTTTATAGTGACTTTCCAAAGATGTTATCTGCTACTAATTATTTTGACAATTGTATCAAAGCTGTACTGGTTAATACATTATATCACTGACCCTATGTCAAGAAAACACATAAAATATAAAATAAATAGTAATCAATCCTGGAGAAAAAAAAGACTTACTCTCAGCATGTCTCTTGTCTTGAATCTGTCAAGGAGTTGCTGGTAATGTCTGTCAGTCATTTGTCGCAACAGTGACAAAAGACATGAAACAAACTCCCCCTAAAAGAAATAGAAAAAAAAAAGCTTTACAGTCTGAAGAGATGAAAAAAGAATTTTTTTCCCTATTGATTACTAGATTTTTTTTTTATTGGATAAGTAGAAGAAAGCCCCTTTTGAAAGATTCTGCTTAATCCAAAATACTTTTCCTATTTTGGTGTTCTTAGGCTACACTTCTAAACTGACATATTTATCACTAGGCACATTAAAGGAATACTTTGATTTCCTAGGTACAATTTCTTTTTGAACAAATATTCATGTGTTCTTATATTCAATATTTTAAAATGAGTTTGTCCGTTATATCTATCAATACTGAATGGATAGCTGAAAACAAAGCTAAAGTGGTACCTGGAAAAATACTGATGGTCCAACAAAGGATGTGTATAAAAAGCAGATGGCCCAACAAAAATGTGGGTAAAAGAGAGGTTTGTTTTGCTTACAAGACAACTCTTAAATTTAGGATGGCCAGACATCCTATTCCCAGCTCTGCACATGATATATTACTAACTGCCTGTCACATGGTATATCTAAATTGCTTAACACTTGATATATTGCTGATTGCTAAAAACATTCCAATGTAAACTGGAGCTATCGATTATAGATCTGTCTAGTAGTTTTTCTATGTTAGAATAAGGACCTATAGAATGTAATGTGACCTGAAAATAACCCCCGCCAGAAAGGGTTATAAAAATGGTCATCAAGGTACAATCTGGGTTCAGATTTCTACAGCCAGGATGGCTCTCTGAACCTGCGCGCAATAAACTTCCCTTTCCTGAAAGAGCTGATTCAAGTTTTTCAATTCTACTACATTTTCTGGTGCATTGGCCGGGAAAAGCTTGAGTGAGGCGATATTTCGCTGAGGACGGCTGGACCCTTCGGACCTGCTGGTAAGCCATCTCTGAACAATTCTCCAGGCGCCATGGGGGTGTGTTTCCTCCAGGAGACAGCTGTGGCTTCGCAGCAGAGCCGACAGTACTGAAGGCCAGTCCAAGAACCCTTTGGGAAAGGAAAGGAAGTCTGAACCAACTCCTGGCCAGGATGGGTGTAACTAAAAGGCAGGCGAGTATGTGTTTAAAGTAATGGTACCTATCTCATTTGAAGATAGAAGAGGGGGCCTGATCACTCCCCTGGACTCGGGACGGCGATCCTAATGAAGTCCGTGTTAGGTTGTGTGGGTGGTTAAGCCAGTGCATTCCCTACTAGTGACCGCCGGCGCTGTAGGTCATTGGCAGTGTGTTAGGATGGGGGGGCGTAGTATGGATGTGGGGTGGCCCCCAGAGGGGACTTTTAAGAAAACTATCCTAACCAATTTCAGTATATAGATCAGTGGGGGGATGCAGTAGCAGGACGAGCTGATGAGTTATTGCAATGTCAGGCTGAAATGGTTCGTTTGTGTGTGGCTAGACCCAAAGGAAAAAAAAAAAAAGCTTCAAGTACAAACTAAAAGAGTGAAAGATGTGAAGATTTCAGAAACTAAGGTGTCAGATGCTAAGAAGGAGATAAGGATGGAGGTAGAGGAGTTGATTTTCAGACCTCCTCCCTACGTTCCACCTTTCTCCCCCTCCCCCCCCCCCAGTGCCAGCTGTGGCAGAGCCAGCAGCCGCTCTGACGGAGGAAGGGCTGATTGCCCCTGCTGTGTCCGAAGAAAGGCAGCCAGCTGTGAGACGAAAATAGAAAGGGGGAGGCTGTCAGCCCCCAAGGAGGAAGGGGATTTGGAAGGTCTCTCTGTAAATGTGAGGGGAGAAGTAAGTAAAGAGGAGCAATTGTTGAATATTTTGTTGACTCCCGAGGAAAGGGAGAAGTGGAAGGCTGCTGTTAGGCAGTGTTTGAAGGATAGGTTGCCGGCTGTGCGGGATATACAGCCAGAGATGGAAGCCAGGGCACCAGAAAAGGACCCTGAATGGAATACACAAAATCCAGCACACATGACTTTGTTAAAGGAATATCAGAATTTAGTAGTAGAGGCTCTTTGCAAGGCTGGAAAGCCTTCAGTGAATGTGTTAAAGCCGTCTTTTGTGATGCAGGAGGCAGATGAAAGTCCGGAAAGTTTTTTGCAAAGGCTGATTGAGGCTTATGAGCTTTATACACAGGTGGATCCAAGGAGTGCAGACAATGTGCGAATGTTGAATGAGAGGTTCATAGCACAGAGTTATGAAGATATAAGAAAGAAGTTGCAGAGGTTAGAAAGAGCATTAGGAAAGAACACTACAGAATTGTTGGAGGTGGCTAGGAAAGTGTTTGTTAATAGGGATAAGGTGGAAAAACAGGAAAGAGATGCTAGAATGCATAAGAAAATTGAGTTGTTGGCGGTGGCATTGCAAGGAGGGATCATGCTGGGACCCAACCAGTGTGCTAATTGCAAGGAGGAAGGTCATTGGCAAAGAGAATGTCCAAGAAGGCAGATGCGAGGTAGAGGTTGGAGAGGAAGAGAAGGCAGAGGACGTGGAGGTGTTGGCAGTGGGCCCCCCATGCACTCCCCCTTCATGGGTAGAGGGCAGAGAGGGGCTCCAAGGAATGTGAGAGATGGTCCAGGGAATGTAAGAGATGGTCTGAGGAATGGGAGACATTGGAATAGAGACAGGGAGATTGAGGGAATTGGCTTGGCAGGAACTAACGGGTCAGATTGACGAGGACCTGGCTTGGAGGAAGCCCCCCCTGAGCCATTGGTTACTTTAAATATAGGGGGCAAACAGACAACGTTTTTGGTGGATACTGGAGCAGGAAGATCAGTTGTGGATTTGAAAGCAGAGTCTTTGTGTGTGAAGTAAATATGACTGTTACTAACCTCAAGAGAAAAGAAGATACCAAAAAAAAAAAAAAAAATAACCTCACTCTGTTTGTCTGGCCAACAAACAAAGTGAAGGAAGATGTGTTTGTTTATTTATTTACTTTTTTTTCTCCCTCTTAAGAACAGCCCAAAGTTACCTGCTCAGGCAGGAAATCCTATACCATTTTCTTGCCTATTCTGCTCTCTCCCTTTTGCAAATGTTAGTGTGTTAATGCCTTTTCAAACTCTATCTGCAGACACAACCCCCTTTCCCCCCTTGTTTTTTTTCTGGCTGTGTTGCTTTGAGAGGGAGAGAGATAGAGAGAGATAGAGAGAGAGGAGAAAAGGGGGGGGGGTTGATCTTTTTAACTTTTTCCCTGCTTAGAATTCAGGTTTGAGAAAGGTTGGGTGGCTGTGAAAATTTAATGCCCACTTTTGCAATTTTTTTCTATTCAAAAGAGGAGTCAGTAATTGTTGGACAACTTTTTTTGGGGAAATTTTTGAGTTTAAATTGTTTAATATCAACCAAAAGAGTTTGCTTAGATTTGTAAATGTTCTCCCTATTTAATGGAAATTTAATGGAAATCTGTTTCCATCTGAATGGAATTTGATTAAATTGGGATTTGACTAACTTTATATTAAAAGCAATACTAGAGTTTAGAAAAAAAAAACTTTCAGTAACTCAGAATATCTTATTAAACTTGTTTATTTTTTTTGTGTGAAGTTAGAACGAAGTTGAGAAAAATTTTGGGATTATAAATAGCTATGCTGTTTTGAGTAAAGATTTGTATGCAAAACTGTTAGAAAAAGAGCTTGTGTTAATAAATGCAAACAGGGGTTGGTGAGCTCTCCTTTGTTGGTTCTTTGCTAGGTAATTTATTTATAAACAAGGACAAAGGTTGGAGGAGGTTTTGGCCCAGAAGTGTGTGCGTGGGGGGGGGGGAAAGGCAGCCAGTGGCATTTTTATCTAAAATTGACATTTGGGGACATCTTGGTGGTTAGCATTTCTTATCAAGGGTGGACAATTTTAATCAGGAAGCCTTGGTATACACTTGTTCATAGCAAAGTGGTTTTCAGTTGTGGATTTGAAAGATGCTTTTTTCACGATTCCTATTCACAAGGCTAGCCAGCCGTTGTTTGCTTTTGAATGGGAGGGAGAACAAAAGAATGCCTTTAGGGAAGTGAAACGAGCTCTCACATCAGCTCCAGCTTTAGCCTTGCCTAACTTAGAGAAGCCTTTCAATTTGTATGTTGATACCAGGAAGAATGTTGCCTTGGGGGTGTTAACTCAACAATTAGGACAGTGGCAACGCCCGGTGGCTTACTTATCTAAGCAATTAGATGGGGTTGCCCAAGGCTGGCCACATTGTCTGAAGGTTCTTGCTGCTATAGCAGTCCTTTTACAGGACTGTAATAAATTGACCTTCTCATGTTCCATAAGTGTCCACCCCCCTCATGCAGTTCATTCTATCTTGGATAATAAAGGGCATTTGTGGATCAGCAGTCAAAGGCTTTTTAAGTATCAGGCGATGATGATTGAAAATCCTCAAGTGAAATTAGTGGTGTCTAACCGGCTAAACCCTGCCACCCTATTGCCCACAGAAGTGGATTCAGAACACAACTGCTTGCTGCCCTGAATTGGTATACAGACGGCTTGAGTTACATGAAAGATGGGAGGAGGGTTTCTGGATATGCGATTGTGAATGATGAGGAAGTGGTGGAAAGTAGTCCGCTAGGAGCAAACTGCAGTGCTCAAGTGGCAGAATTGTGGGCATTAATTAGAGCATTGGAGAGAGCTGAAGGGGAAACTTTAAATGTCTGGACAGATAGTAAATATGCTTTTCTAACTCTGCATGCTCATGGTGCTGTGTATAAGGAGAGGGGATTCAGGGATTCGGCTGGCAAACATGGGTTACATGGACACTTGATAAAGCATCTTCTCGATGCAGTACAAAAGCCAGCAAAGGTTTCAGTTATGCATTGTAAAGGGCCATCAGGGGGGAGTATGGGGGAACTGAATAAGCAAGTGGAAAAACTTAGGAATTATGTTGTTGAACAAACACCTCCTAAACTAATAACAAGATGTCATCCCTTTAAACCAGGGGATAAGGTGTGGGTAAAACATTGGAAACATGAACAACTGGAGGGGAGATGGGAAGGACCTTATGGAGTAATAATGGCCTCTCCTTTAGCAATAAAGATTGCAGAATCTAAATCTTGGATTCACTGGACCAGA